GCTCCTAAGGGGGGCAAAACCTGTTCCAGCCCCTTGTGAAATTGATGCCCTTGTCATCATGTAGCACCTTTCTTTTGTTACTTTTCTTTCAAAGTCTGTTTTGTGTGATGTGCATATTGCTTCCTGAGTTTGCTTTTTATTTCCATGTGCAGGGAATGGATTTTTTCCATCCCACACTTGTGTGTGTGTGTGTGTGTGTGTTGAAGTCTGAAGTGGGTGGGTCTCTCCTCATCCCTCCAGTCGCCCTGTCTTTGGACTTGAGCCTGTAGCGCATTCCCACGTGAGGGAACCGCGGATGTGTATGCACTTAGTGCCGTTTGCTTGACGGCTTCCTGATTTCTGTAGTTCTCTGTTCCTTCCTTCTCTTGCTCTTCCCTTGTGATCTCATGACTTTCTTCAGTGTTTGTATTTCTTTTTCTTTAGTTTTTGTGAATAGACATATCTTGAAGATACAGCGGTTTCAAAGTTCCAGACCACCACAAAAAGCAAGTTAAATTAGTTTTTTGGTTTCCCAGTGCATTTCAAAGTTATGTTTACACTATAGTCTATTAATATGTATCATAGCATTATGTCTTAAAAAAAACCCTACATATCTTAATTTTAAAAGGCTTATTGGTTAAAAAATACTATCATCTGAGCTGGCCGTGGGTCCTGAGCTCCCTGCAGGCAGGGGTCCCCCCGCAGTGCTGAGGGCACCGCTGGGTCGGGGTGTGGGCTGCTGAATACTGGGGTGGCTATGGATTTATTAAAATAAGAAGTTTTGCCACATTATTTGACTTTTTTTCCATGAACAATTTCTGTGTTATTGTGCAATGCTCTCAGATAGCTTTTAACACACAGTATACTTCTTAAAACTGGAGTCAGTCTTCCCAAAACTTTCTGTTGCTTTATCAACCAAGTTTATGTGATACTCTGAATTATTCTGAAGGTCATACTCTGTAACACTTTGTTGTCATTCAACAGTCTTCACGGCGTCTTCACCACGAGTCGGTTCCATGTCAGGAAACCACTTCCTTTGCTAAGAGGCAGCCCCTCCTCCCTCCAAGTTTGCCCCGCATCCAGACCCCACTTCTGACTCGAGCGACCTCGCTGTGTCCACCCTGTCTGCAGCCGCCTCCCGCCCCGAGCTCCTGACCCCTCCGAGTCTCCCCAGAGGGTGGGAATCCTCTGCTGTGAAACCCTTTTTAATGTTGATGTTTTGACCACCTCCCATGAATTGCAATCTTTTTATAGGCGTCTAGAATAGGTAGGTAATCCTTTTCAGAAGGTTTTCTTTTCTTTTTTTTTTTTTTAAGATTTTATTTATTTATTTGACAGACAGAGATCACAAGTAGTCAGAGAGGCAGGCAGAGAGAGAGGAGGAAGCAGGCTCCCTGCAGAGCAGAGAGCCCGATGCAGGGCTCGATCCCAGGACCCTGAGATCATGACCTGAGCTGAAGGCAGAGGCTTAACCCACTGAGCCACCCAGGCACCCCTCCCCCTCCACATTCTATGTACTTGAAATATTCTACATGTTTGGTCTTGTATGCCTTATAACCACTGTGGTTTTATTTTTACTCCTTTTCTTTAACATTTCTACTGACTTTATAAGCAGTTGATTGACTACCTTCATTAGATGTGCGCTTTTGCCAGTGAGGTTTCTGTTCTTAATTTTTCTCTAGTCATGGCCTTTCCAGTTCTGCTTTAGAAACTCGCTTCAACATTTCTTGTAAGACTGGTTTAGTGGTCGTGAACTCCTTTAAAGAAGGTTTTCTTCCTATGGGAAACTCATCATCTCTCCTTCAGTTCTGAATGAGGATCTTGCTGGGTGCTGTGTTCTTGGCTGTAGGTATTTTTTCTTAACCCACTTTGAATATATTCCTCTCCCTTTTGTTCTGAAAAGTTTGTGCTGAAAAATCACCAGATGGTCTTTGGAGTAATCCTTTCGTGTGACTAGTGCCTTTACTCCTGCTACTGTGAAGATTTCTCTGTCTTTGTCTCTTGACATTTTAATTCTGTGTCTTGGTGTGGACTCTTGGGTTTATCTTGTTTGGGACTTTCTGTGCTTCCTGGCCTGGATGTCTCTTTCCTTCCCCAGGACAGAAAATGTTATTATTTCTTCAAATACCTTTTCTCCCTTTTCCCTCTTCTCCTTCTGGGACCCCTGTAATGCCAATGTCAGTGTGCTTGATGTTGTGCCAGAAGTTACTAGAAGTCCCTCCAGCTATCCCCGTTTGTAAAACCCCTTTTGCTGTGGATCTCGGCTGATTTCCAGCACCCGTGCTCCAGGTCGTTGCTCCGTCCTTCTGCGCCCTCCGCTTTGCCACCTGTTGCTTCTGGTGTGTTTTCATTTCGGGTATTAGAGCTTTGGGCTCTGAGCGTTCTTATCGTTTCTGTTTCTTTGTCTCTTGACAAGGTTCTCCGTGCGCTCATCCATTCTTCTGATTCTGGTGACTGAGGATCACCAGACTCTCACGCGGAGCTTTCTCAGGTGGACGGCTTATCTGTTTCAATTAGTTATTTTTCCTGAGGTTTGTTTTGTTCTTTTGCATAGAGCACATTCCTGTCTGTCCTGACTTTGCCTGACTTTGTGTTTATCGCGTGGGGCAGGTGGATTAGTACGTCTCCTGACCTTGAGGGAGCAGCCTTGCGTGGAAGGCGCCCTTCTGAGGCCCAGAAACACAGTGTCTCGGGCTGTTAAATCAGGCACTCGGGGATGTGCCCTGTGTGGGCCTCACGCGCTGCCCCTGTTGTGGCCGTCAGGGACTGTGCCCGTGAACGGTCAGCAGGGTCCCTCCACCCCCAGGCGGGAGCTACCTTGGAGCGTGGCTGGGCCTGAGGCATCCTGCCGTGTGTGGCAGGTCGGGGGCACTCTGATGGGGCGCTGGTCCTCTCTGAGGCCACTCACTGGGGATGGCGGGGCACCTGTCCCAGCCAGGGTTGCCCGCCAAGTGTGGTGGTGTGGGGCCGGCTTGCAGGGGTTCCTGCCTGGTGGGAAGCTGGGGTGAGGTCCCCGGGGGAGCAGTGGGGTTGCAGAGATAGTGCTCACAGGGTGGTTGGAGAGGGTCGACACCAGCACCCGCCAGTGTGTGGCCAGCCAGGCAGAAGGAGGGCAAGCAAATGTCGTCTGTAGCCATTTTGCTCCCAGAAAAACTTCCATAAAGATGTCTGCTTCTCCGTTACACACTCGAAAATCAGGCCGCAGAGCTCCTTCGCATATGGCCCAGGGCTTCTCAGACCGTTGCTTCTGTGCCCAGTCTCCCAGCACGGAAGGCCCCTTCGGAGGGGGACCCTCCTGCTCTCCCGGAGAAAAGCCCCTGTCTTGCAGAGCCAGACAAGGCAGGGCTGGCGCCTCCTGATGCAGGTCCCCAGGGCCGGGGATGCCCCATCCCAGGTTTGAACCCTTGTCCTCAGGAGGAACCCGTGTCTGTGACTTCCCTACTGTTTGTGGGCTGTGGGTTCCCACCAGACTGTGGCTCTGCCCCGTTTACCTTCTTAGGTTTAATTTAATTTTTTAAATTTTATTTTGTTTTCCACAGTCTTTGGCTGTGAACTATTCTGCTTGTCTTTGGGTTGTTCTCAGAGTGTCGCTCCGTATCTAGTTGCGGCCGTAGTCTGGGTGGCGGTGAGCTCAGCAGCCCTGGTCTGCCATCTTGATTGGAGTCCCTACATATTCTTTATTTTTAAATATTAAGCCCTTATCACATATTTGGTTTGCAGACATTTCTTTCACATTATATAAGTGGGTTTTTTTTTTTCATTCTGTTGATTGTTTACTTTGTTGTGCAGGTTTTTAGTTTGATGGAGTTCTGGTTTTTATTTTTTTGTTCATGCATTGGATGTCCTATCCTAAGAATCCTTTCCCAGACTGATGTCAAGGAGCTCTCTCCTACCCACCTCCCGTTTCTTTCTAGGAGTCTTAAGGTTTCTGGTATTGCATTTAAGCCTTTGATCCAGGCCACCCAAATTGTGTAAGTTTATCCAGGTCAGGGTCTAAGTTCAGTCTTTCTTTAATTTTTTTTTTATTTTTTTTAAGACTTTATTTATTTATTTGACAGACAGAGATCACAAGTAGGCAGAGAGACAGGCAGAGAGAGAGGAGGAAGCAGGCTCCCCGCTGAGCAGAGAGCCCAATGCAGGGCTTGATCCCAGGACCCTGAGATCATGACCTGAGCCGAAGGCAGAGGCTTACCCCACTGAGCCACCCAGGCACCCCTAAGTTCAGTCTTTAACATGTGACTGACTATGCCATTTTCCCAGGCCCTTTCTCGAAGGGCTGTCTTCTCTCTCCTGTCAAATAACAGCTGACTGTGCATGTCGGTTTGTGTCTGGCCCTCGATGCTGTTCCGTTGCTGTATGTGTCTGTTTCTTGTGCCAGTTCCTACCCTTGGTCGCCTCTAGCTGTATAATAAGGCTCAGAACGTGGAAGTGGGCGGCCTCCCGTCTTCTCTTTCTCAGCATTGCTCTAGCCCGCTGGGGTCCTCTGTGTGTCTGTATCCGTGTCACTGCAGGCTTTTCTGTGTCATTAACAAAATGCCACTGGCCTCTTGACCTAGCTGAATCTGAAGCCACAGATGGCTCGGGGCCGCTGACATCTTCAAAACCCTCCTCCAGCCCATAAACTCAGGACACCGGCCGAGTGCTTGTGTCCTCAGCTTGTTTCTTCAGTGTCTTGGAGTCAGTGTAAGGTACTTACGTTCTTTGATTAGATTTATTCCTAAGTATTGCATTATTTTTGATGCTGTTATAAATGGGACTGTGTTCTTTATATTTTAGATAATTCTTCAGCATACAGGAGTGTTACTACTTTTTTGGACATTAACTTTATTCTGCAGCTTTACTAATGTGTGGATTAGATCTATAAATTTCATGCATAATATACTTCAGATTTTCTATATTTAAAATCATGGCACCGGCCAAACAGTTATACTGTTTGTAAGTAAGTAAGTAAGTACTCTTTTCCAAATCTGATGCTTTTATTTCCTTTTCTTACCTGATTGCTGACGAGCACTTTTAACACCATGTCGAGTAGCAGTGGCGAGAGCGGGTCCCTCCTCTTGTTCCTGACCTTAGAGGAGAACCTTCAGCTTTTCATGGTTGAATGTGATGTAAGCTGTGTGTTTGTCTTACGTGATCTTTCTTTTGTTGATTATGTTCCCTTTACATCTCTGTTGAGTTTTTGTTGTAAATGGGTGCCCATTTATCATTTTCGTCAAAAGATATTTCTACATTTAGGATGCGCTGGAGGAGGAGCAGCCAGGGGCGGCCGTGGCTGCCGTGGCGGTGGCAGGTGGCACCGGCCCGGCCGTGTTGCAGGTGGTCGGTCTGTACCAGGGGCCGTGCGCCACATGCACCCGTGCCCTAGACCTGGGGCTCGTGTCCCCCGCGCAGCTGCGCATGTTCCCGGTGCACCACGGCTCAGGTGGGCCCACAGCAGGGCGCTTGCGGCAGCGGGGTCGGGGCCAAGCTCAAGGCCAACCCCTTTTACAACCGCTACCCGGACAAGATCCCACAGCTGTGCAGGTCTGACCCAGCCACTTTTGAATCGCGACTGGAAAAGCACATTGAGTTTCTGAAGCAGCCAGTGGGGCACTCCAGGCAAGGTGACACTATCAGATGTGTAGAACAGAAGACAGACGCCCTGGGGACACAGCCTGCGAGCAGAGGATTCACTGAGGACAGGACTCTCGGTTCCATCGTTAACATTGAGATGGCGAAAGACAAAACAGAAGAAATAAGGCAGATTTGGCTGCAGTATTTTGCAGCAAAAGATATACGGTCTGTGCAGTTATTCCTAAAGACAAAGTTTGACTTGATCTGGTCCCGGGCTCAGTCCTGTCCAACGTTTCTCTGTGCACTACCAACAAGGGAAGGTTATTAGTTCTTTGTAGGACAACGGACAGGTACTGACCTCCGCTGCACTGCACTGGTAGATACTCAGACCCGCCGGGAGGCTGCAGCCCGCCAGCTGGTCTTATATCACTGCCCTGAACTGAAGGACGCAGGCGCAGTGCTGCCGACGCAGACACGGACCCCACCTCCCTGAATGTTGCCGAGGCACAGTGCACTGCCAGCCACGTTCACTCTCCCATGCCATCGACTGGAAGGAGACCTGTGGGCTAGCGGAGACCTCTGACTTCAGACCAGATGAGTTCAAGTACATGTCTGTCGCTGCTGAACTGGAGCAAAGCGGACTTGAAGAACTGAGATGTGCCCGGAACCAGCACAGGACTTGGCGCTGAGGCTGGGCTTACGGAGTCTGCTCAGCCCTGGGTGGTTTCCTGCCGCCCGCCCGGCCCCTGGAACTTTTGGGAGCATCGCAGCTGTGAGGAGCAGTCTCTGACCAGTTGCCCTGTGTGCTTACTGCAGGAAGTACCCGTGGAGGTGAGCCCCGTTACTGGATATTCAGGAATGAAGGTGCCCAAACATTCTGGTAATCATCTCCCAGCCTACTTAAGCCTTCCTAAGTGTTTGGGGTCATAACCAGGGAGAGCTAGGGAGCCACAGGATGGCGGCTTGACTTTACACAGTGGAGTAGTGCTGGGTGTCCCCTTGACCGCACAGCTCCCAAATGACTAGTTCTTCGTATTTATAAACGTGTGATAGCGTATGATAGGATAGCAAGCGTGAAGACCTGCCATAATTTGATGTGGGCCTTGCGTACTCTTCCTGTGTGCCCCTTGGCTTGAAGGTATAGCCCAGATACCCTGTTTGAACTCTACACTGACCAGATACCACCGTCAGGACTCAGACTTCATCTCCATGTGCCCAGAGCCACTGTCGGAAGCCGCGTATCTGGGGAGGGTGAATAAGTGTAGTGTGCAGAAAGCAACACTTTTGTAAGGAGAGGGGAAAAAAGATCTTCTACATCTATTAAGATCCTCTTTTAATTTTGTTTATGTGGTATATCACATTGATCTGGATGTTAAACTAGCTTTGCACCATTGGAATAATTCCTACTTGATCCGGGTGAATTGTCTTTTTAATCGTTGCTGCTGAAATTGGTTTGCCGGCATTTTACGGAGAATTTTTGTCTTCATATTCATCAGGGGTATCGGTCTGTAGTTTTCTGACAGTGTCCTTTCTGGCTTTGGTATCCGCATAATGATGTCCTTAGAAAATGAGTTTGGGAGTGTTCCCCTTGCTTTGATTTTTTCGGGGGGGGGGTAGTTTAAGAAGGATTGGTGTTAAATTCTTCACGTGTAAAATTCACCAGCGCAGCCATCTGGTCGTGGACGTTTCTGTGCCGGGACATTTTTGATGACTGAGTCTCTTTCGAAGTACTTGTTCTGCTCGGATTTACCATTACTGCCTGATGCCGTCTTGCTAGCTCATTTGGAGGTTCTTAGCATTTTTCCGCTTCTTGTGTGTTTCCCACTCGTGGGCGTGTACGTGTCGAGAGCAGCTTCTTAGGATCCTTCGGGTTTCCCTAGAGTCCGTTTTACAGTCTTTTTTGTTAACTTATAATGTTGGCGTGGGTATGCTAGTTCCTTGGTTTAGACTAGCTAAAGATTGTCAAGCTTATCTCTCCCAAGAACCAGCTCTTGGTTTTGTCAATGTCCTTGTTTTCATGTTGTGTATTTCATTTATTTCTGCTCTAAACTTCATTTCCTTCATTCTGCCAACCTAGGGTTCAGTTTGTTCTTGTTTTACTAATTTGTTTAGGGACAGAGTTAGGTTGTCTATTTGAGATTTTTGTTTCTTTGTTTCTAAATGTCGACACTTATTGGTATAAACCTGGCTCTTTGAACTGCTTTTGTTGTATCCCATAAGTTGATTTTATATATGTTCCATTTTTAATTTACTTCCCTTTTAATTTCTTCTTTGATCTATTGGTTGTTCAGGCGAGTGTTTAATTTCGTGTATTAGTGAGTTTTCCAGTTTTACTCCTGTTCCTTATTTGTAGTTTCATCGCTTTGTGGTAAGAGTAGGTGCTTGTAGGATGTGTCTTCGTGAATTTACTCTATGACTTGTTTTGCTAACATACGGTCTGTGCTAGAGAACGTTGCACACGCTTTGGAGAAGAATGTGCATTTTGTCGATGGATGGACTGCTCTGTTCGTGTCTGTGGGTCCGACTGGTGTGTGATGGGATCCCCTGGGGAGAGGCAGGGAATCAGAATGCCCACCTGTGGGACTGCTGTTTCTCCTTTTTCCTGGTAGTTTCTGCTTTATATTTTCAAGTGCTCCAATGCTTGGTATGTAAGTAATTACAATTGTTACATCTTTTTGGAGTGATTCCTTTACCATTACATAATGGCCCTCTTTGTGTGTTTTTACCGCTTTCGGGTTAAAGTGTATTTTTGTCTCACGGAAATGTAGCTACCACTGATCCTTGGGAGTACTGTTGGCTGGAAATAACTTCTCCCACCCGCTCACTTGCGGTGTGTGTGTCGTCAGGGCTGACGTGAATCTCTGGTGGGCAGCGCGTCACGGATCTTGTTTTTTATCCACTCAGCCATTCTGAGTCTTCTGACGGCAGGATTTTATGCGTTTGCGTTAAAGTCTCAATCACTGGCGTGTGGGGCTCCACTTGCGCCTTTCCGTTGAGTTCTGGCCGTTGTGCCGACCCATCGTTACTTTTTTCATATCCTGCTTTTGTATTGTGCTGTTGTTTGATGTCCGTACGCTTTGACTTCTTCGTCATTGTCTTTTGTGTAATTATAGATTTTATCTTGTGATTATGAGGTTTACGTAAAATATCTTAAAATTTGACATCTTGTTTTAAACTGATGACAGCTTCGATAGAATTCCTAAACTTGACAATTTTACTTCTGTTCCCCCTTACATTTTAGGCTATTAATGTTAGGTTGCATATTTTTTTCATGGTGTAACATGAAAGTGAAAGTGACAGATCTTCCCTGAACTTGTAGAGCAAAGCTCTGATGAACTGTGCGCCCCTGTCCCCACAGTAAGAAACCGGCCACACACAGCCCGCAGTGGGCTGCATATCTTGTCAAATTCTAGAAACATACACCATCATCAGCAAGTTTTATGCTACCTTTTTATGTTTTTGTGATAACTAGCATCTTAAATTCTACTGAGACTCCCTGTGGCACTTTGTAGTGACAAATTCCCTGAGCTTCTGTTTGTTCTGGAAATCTTATCTCCCCTTCATTTCAGAAGGACTGCTCTGCTAAGCGTAGAGTTCTTGGTTTAGAGCTTTTTTCTTTTCTTTAAAGATTTTGTTTATTTAACAGAGACAGACAGCTTTTTTTTCCCTTAATATTTTGAATTTATCATCCCCTTCCCTCCTGGCCTGGAACCTTGTTGAGAACCCATGTATAATCCTGTGGGCGTTCCCTGTATCTAATTTCTCTTTTCCCTTGTTGCATTAAAGAAACCTTTGGAAGAAACTTGGTAAAAGTGTGTCTTGGCCTAGTAGTCCTAGTACAGTTTGACCTTTTTGGGCTCCTTGGGGCCTCGTGAACCTGGATGTCCATTTGTGTCCTCAGGTTCAGGGAGTTTGAAAGCTTTCCATTTGCTTCCTCTGGTGACACGCTCACTAGATTTGTGTCACGTTGGTTCTGTGCGTTTAAGCGAGCGGTCTCCTCGCCTGGTCCTTCCCAGGGGGAGACAGCTCTGGACCGCGCCCTCTGGGCTTGCGGATGGTCAGCTGTTCCTTGCCTGGGGCAGGTGGGCTTGCTGTCAGGGTCTGCTGTGGGTACGGTGGCTGCCCAGGCTGCGCCCCCTGTTGAGGACAGATGGACAGGACCTCTGTTGGCTCCCAGCGCAGGCAGGGCGGCAGGATGGGCTCCGGGGCTGCCGGGACACTCGGGATTCTGGTCCGGCTTCCTTCCTGGAGGTGCTGGGGCTCTAAGTCAGATTCTCCGCCCTGTGGGGCAGCAGGACGCCTGTGCCCAGTCAGGCAGTGCTGTGCCTGGAGGGCCATGACCCTGGGCCCCGCGGCACTGCTCTGCGGGCAGGGGAAACCAGCGCTGAGCTTTCCACGGTGTCCCTGGAAGCAAGGCCATTGCTGGGCTATGCCCCTGCCCCTCCTGCGGGCTCTGTTCTGCATCCTCGGCCAGTCGCCTGGGCTGGGGGCTGTGACAGGACTGGGTGGGGCTGCCAGCTAGTCCCTGGACTGGCAGCCAGCCAGCTCCGGAGCCGGAAGGCCCGTGTGCACAGCGCGCTGGCGGAACGGGTTCCGGTTCTGTCCTGCAGACGGCCACCCTGCTCTGCTGCCGCTGTGATGCCAGCTGTTCCCGCAGTTCCCTGGGGTGTGACGCCGTGTGCCTGCCGGGCCAGCCAGGATCTTCGTTTGAGATCCAGAGAAGACAGAGCTGCGCGCCCCCACGTCCCCAAGGCCGGGCACCCACGGGCGCTGGAGAAGGGGGGAGCTACGGGCTGGCCCGGCTGCTCAGGCGCTGCAGGTAGCAAATCTGCTTGCCAGGATCCCCACTGTGCGTCCCCTGAGTGGGGGCTTCCGTAAAGCCTCCTGCAGAACGGGGGAGCTGGACATCCAGCCTGGGCTCCTCCCTGCCTGCAGGAGCCTGTGCTGGCCCGGGGTGGGGGTGGGGATGCCCTTGGCCTGCGGGCACTTCTCTCCCTCATCGTGTGGGGTCTGCCGTGGTCTCGGCAGGGGCTGCCTCTGCCTGGTGTTCAAGGCCCTGTCCGTGGTGTCTGGTGTGTGACTACTTGAGTGGTTGCCCTGGGAGGGGCAGTCAGAAGCGCCTCGGGCCACCTTCCCACGCTCGCTGTACACGAGTCCCTGACCCACACAGACGCGCAGGCACGCCGAGGACGCTCCTTCAGCATGTGCTGTAGGGACCGTAGGAAAAGGAGCAAGGCGAGTGTAAGTCCAGGGTGAATTTTGAAAGTTTTTTTTTTAAGATTTTATTTATTTATTTGACAGATAATGAGAGCAGGAACACAGGCAGGGGGAGCAGCAGAGGGAGAGGCAGAATCCCCGCTGAGCACAGAGCCTGACGCGGGTTTCGATCCCAGGACCCTGAGATCATGACCTGAGCTGAAGGCAGAGGCTCAACCACCGAGCATCAACCCCAGGTGTCCCTTGAGAGTCTTTAAGATGTGAATGTCACTGGCCTCTTTTCCTTGATGAGACTCTCTCTCCACCCTGAGTAGAATTACACGCGGCTCCTGTGCCCCAGGAGCACAGCAGCCAGACCGACGGAGCTATGGACCTTT